ATACATTTTCAGGAAAGCTAGAGATGTATAACTGAACCAGTGATCTCCTTCACAGTAATTTTATTTGTGAATAGTTTATTCACATAATTCCCATTCCTAACGTATCCTTCACTCTCTCTACTCCATCTAAAATCATTGCCTCTTTAAATGGTTATTGTCACATATGAACACACATGAATATATATGTGTGGCTAAATTCATAAATGCAAGTGATCATGGGATTCCATCCCGAAATATGTCTACAACACAACCTCTACATCCAAGGCTTAGGAAATTCCACTGAATAGAGTGCATAATGACTATAGGAGAAAAATGGCCAGGAAAATTGTTCTGAGGTTCCATCTTCTACATATGACAAGGTAACTACACCAGTGAAATATAAATAATATGGTTGTCTAAACAAGACCTTCATAATGACACAAGACTCCACCATAAACGAAAAAGAGAGATAGCCAATTGGTGATTGATGAGAGAGAGAGAAAAAACAAGCAAAAGAGAGAGAATGACATTTCCCCAACAGTGAGTCCCATAACACTTTCTTCAGTAAAATGTGGTTAGCCTTTAATACTGGTGTAAGAGCAACACTAAATGGAATCAATAGGTTACATTCATACATTTAATTGTTTCTCTGTGTAGATAGATTAGCTGATAGATAATACATTGATGCTAGGTAGATAGATACAATAAATATGTTCCATAGATGACTGACCGATAGCAGCCAGCCAGATAGATAAATGATAGACAGCTTTAACTGTCAATATGACAGGATCTTGATCTGTCTGGAAATTGAGTCTCATGTACACTGTCTTGGCTTTTGCATGTTTCTTAATTTTTACAGAAAGACCTAGTTCACTGAGATAAAGCCTTCCACTCCTGTCACTCAGCTATAAATTGATAACCTGTAGTGTACACTGGAGGAGTTGCTGTCCTACACACAATAATTCCATTTAAACTCTGAAAATATGGACATCTGTATTTTAGGAAGTTTCTACATCCCTAAGTTTTTTCGGATATTTTAAAACTGTGAGCCTTGTGCACTAAAATGTACAATATTGGAAAAACATCTGTTGCTGCATATCCAGATTAGGCTTTTGTATATTTGACACATGTGTGATTCATCTGGGAGAAGAAATGGCAACTGAAATTGACTTTTGATCATTAGTAAAAAATACTCAGCCTTGATGGTGTGTCTCAGGTTTATTCTTCTGCTCAAATTAGTGAAATGGACAGCAAGGAGCCCAATGTTTTCCACACATCCTTCTTAAATCCTTTACTGTGACAGATTGTAGCATTCCTTGCTTCCTAAAATAAAATACAATGTAGTCCTCATTTAATATCAACTTTGTGAACTCCCAAATGACCTTGTAGTTCTTAAGAGCATATGAATAAATTCACAGAGTAGATATATCAGTGTGATAAAGATATCCACTTAGTATTTAGTTGACTTTGATATTTGAGATAGTGGCAGTATAAATTCAACAACACAGCATGGGAATGTGTCTTAATTACTGTTCTATTAATTTGAAGAGACACTTTGGCCACAGAAACACTTGTAAAGGACAGCATAGAATTGGGAGGTAATGGCATTTACCAACTGTTAACAATTTGATGAATTCATACATTGAGGTGTGATTATAATGAACATTTCTTCTGGAATTTCCTCTCTTAATGCAGTAAGAGAAGAAATATCACTTTCATTGAAAGCTTAGTACATGTTTTAAAATACATAGCTCAAGAAAACAAAGTAGTAGCCTCAAGAATTACAAACTATTATATGTAGATTCATAAGAAACTGTTGCTTTTAAAAATCTTATATCTGTGTATCGATCTCATTACACTCAATTTTTCCTTCCCATACATTTGCATACATAATATAATTTCATACAGTAGCATCCATAATATAGTCAAGCAAAAATGGTTTTTTCCCTTGTTGGTATTATAATGTATTCTGTGTCATAAATATACTATTTTGTCAAGCGGTTTTTTTGAACCTTTTTATATCCATTTTATAGGAGAGAAAAGCGTATTCTGTCTTTTTCTTATAATAGTGCTTTCATCACTATTTTGCTTGAAGTTTACTGGTGCAGAGATATATACTCTCAGATTTTTTCAAGCATCATCATGATACATGAAGAATCTTTAATTTGCATTGAGTACAGAATACAACAGTGCTTAAACAGTTTTATGTAATATAAAAAAGATAAGATTGAGATCAAATAACAACACAGGCATCATGCATCAGCAACAAAGCAATCTCAAATACTCAATCTTTATGCCATTAAAATTTGTTGGACAATACTTCAGAAATGAGGCCATGAAGGGCAGCAACATTTTATCATTTTTCCAACTCCCAAAGGCCATTCACCAAAAATTTTTATGTTGCTGATATGGAATCTACTTCATAGATACAATGTGATAGAAATTTATTCTGACAGAAGAGAAGGGAACAATTTGGATTCATTCCTGATAGAGAAACATGGGTGATTTTTAGTGGCAGGTGGACCATTTAGATCACATATACTTTAAAGTTAGGTTTTTGGACAGAATCATCACCAAGTAGATTCTACAACTCAACAAGAGCAAAACTTGAAAGATACACTTTCTGAAATGGCCAGATAAAAACATTACCAAATTTAATGGGTTTTAGACAAATGTTTAGACATGAAAATATGGCATAAGAATCTGTCATTGCATATTTGAATTATTAATTGTATTCAAAAATTAATCCAAATCATAGAACATTGCAAGTTGACATATACAGACACATTTTATTTTCAGGAGATTTTTCTAAGGTGTACATTTTTGATGTGGTGATCAGGAGCAGAGCTGGATTTTAAGAACTGATTTCAAATATTGATCATTCTGTATTCCTGTATAAAATCTAATTGGCATCTTTTCTAACTCTCCTCTATGAAGTGCAGCAAGGGGAACAAATTCCACTGAAAATGATGGAAGAATATGTTAAATTGACCATTATACACAAAGATTCCTATTGAAAGCATTATAAATGTCTGCAAAAGAGGTAATACCAATGTTCTTTTCTCTAAAATAAGTTGAAGTAAGAGCAGTTCATTGGTTCTTGATTCCAATACCAGTCTCTAAATTAATGATTAAAAATCCATACAATCACTAATGAAATTCAAGGCAAGTTTTTAACAGTCATTCAATTGTTTCCTCTCATAAACCAATGTATTAAATGAAAGTGTTGGTACAGTGAACACAAACATGATAGTTAATAATCCAACTCATGGGAATTAAAGGATATTTTAACTCAATCCACTTATCTAAAAAATTGTAAGTATGCAGGAAGATAAGACATTATGGCTTAGGATAATACGTACAAAAATATAGAATGTGAAATCAGTTTACCAGGAGACAGATAAGTCTACTGAGAAAATAAAATAGAAAATAAGATTAACATTTTAAAGTACTGATTGATTCAACTATGTTGTAAAGTCTAAAGGACTCATAATTTTAATACAGTTCATCATTGCCATGTGTGAATCATATATGCCTATGTTTTCTACATATTTAAGGTAACAGAAGGCCTCAACTCATTTCTAGACAGAATTAATTCAATTATCTTTTGCAAAAATGTATAAATATAAACTATGTTGTGCAATGTCATCCTCAGTCTAAGCTCCATAAAGTGATTTATTTCTGGGAATTCCTTCAAAATTTACACCGGTATTCACTTAGAAATTTTTTGTCAAAGTATAACATATTCAGTATTCTCTCACATATTTTTAAATTGTGCTATAATACCTGAGTTAAGAAAAGAACTTATTGTGCAGTATCAAGTCTAGTTGCAATTACATTTTCCTACAAAATCTGAGACAATTGAGTAGTAGGACATTCCTGCACATTCCTTTGGTAGTTTTTATGCCTTCACATTGTCATGTCCTTTCTGAAGGGGCAAAGCTATTCAAAGCATTTGTGTTCTATACTGTATTGTAAGTCAAACAAAAGACACTATTTGTCTGAATTTATATCTCATGTAAGTAAGAAAAAAGGGATGGTGAGAGTAAAAAATAGGGTGTTGAAACAAATAAACAAAGCTACTTAAAGTTTTAATATGTGACTTTATTTATATTATGTTATATTCTATTATATATTAAGTTTACAACATATATGTCTGGTATGATGGAACATCCTGTGGTCTCATTACTTGCCACATGTGACCAGAGAATATAGAAATAAAAAAGTCATCCCACACAAACTCACAGGTTCAAGTCCAGCAAGTGACAAATGAGAATGCATTTTAGACAAACATTTATCTAATTCTCAGGTAAAGTTGAATTTTTGTGTTTATACATCACAGACTTACACCTGAATTTCAACATATATTTTTATAATTTAACCACTATTTAGATAATGCTTATTTAACTAAAAATAAGATATTAAAAGAGACTCATTGGTCTGATATATTTTTAATATATTTGGAATGTGATTAGAGAAAAACAAGTTGGCATACATATGGAGGTTTTAAAGTCATGTGTATGAAGATTATTTATATACAAAGTAGAAGAAATTATCCTCTTGGTAGAATTATATAAATTGTCTCCATATCTGAGTGCTTTTGTGTTCTTTACAAAATAAATACTAACTCATCACCGGGACTCATTTTATAACCTGATTATCTGTTATTAATGTTCAATTTAAATTTAACATGACCAATAAATTAGTTCATTGCAATCTGAAAATAATTTTAGAGAGGCTCATTTAATGATCTTTTTCATATTAAAATGGGCATAAACACGTAGCTCTTAGGTACTGGTAATGGATAAATCAGGAAATACAACTAGTCAATTGTGCCATTATCAGACATTTCTTACTGAGTGTGCTCTATTATGAATATGATGTTACCAAACAAGCTTGTCATGGTCATGGGAATAGAATTCAATGGAGCACATTGTTCCTGAATGGCTCTCTTTGACATACTCAGGAACATTACACTTCACTGAATTCTTATATGTTTAAATGAACAAGTGCCACACATGCAAATACTGATGACCAGAGTGCTCTGAAAATTATGAAAAGAAAACATTAACAGGTTCAGTGAAAGCAGGCTCATGAACATCATGCAATATTAATTCTTTACCTGCATCATCTGTTCATCATTTCACTGGCAGCTGAAAAACTGGTCTTCTGCTTCAAAGGAAAAATAAACTTCTAGAAGATGAAGTTTCTTCTTCTCGCTGCCCTAGCATGCTTGGTGACTGCCTCTGAAGAACCTTTACAGGTACAATGATGATCTTCCTTAGGCTTATTCAGGGCCAAAAGTGGATGTAGTGAATTTGTCATTTTTTTGACCAGACAGTATATGTGATTCTATGAAAGTATTGGAACCCCCATCTTCATACTGTAATATAGACTTATATGTTTAAAAATGTTTTTTCAGTTTTAAATTTATAATTGCCTCATCTCAGGTTTCTTTTTTATTTAAACGATAAACAATATTATTCCATGCATCAATCCCAGTTCTGTAACCCTCCCATACTCCCATAACACCTACGGATCCCCCATCCCATGACCCACCCACTCCCTAGGGGATCATCCAAAATGTCACATCATTTGGGACATGGCCCAGGCACTCCCCCATGTATCTAGGCAGAGAGAGTAATCCTCCAGGGGGAATGGGCCCCCAAAGTGCATTCTTGCACTAGGGATAAAAACTGGCTCCATCTCCAGAGGACCCATCGATTGCCCATGTCTCCTAACTGTCACCCACATTCAGGGGGCCTGGTTTTGTCCTATGCTGGTTCCCTAGATTGCATTAATTTTCTTGGGTAAAATGGTAGAAAACCAGCCTTTTTTAAAGTGCCATGCTTTTTCATATACACTTCAGCATAATTATCCATATGCTCATAGTTGAAACCTTAATATTTGATACCATAAAATATTTCAGTGTCTTATAAGTATTCAGGGGTGAATTTTGATAAACACAATATAAAATCTAAATCAATCAATTACATACATGACAAACATACTTGATTTCATGTATTTGAGACATGGATCTCTACAGTCATCCTACTATAGTTGTGTGTGTGTGTGTGTGTGTGCCTGTGTATACATATGTGCCCATGACCATGGGTTTGAAAACATTGCTACAAAGAAGGTGTAGAAAACAGACATAAGACCACCAAAAGGTGCAGTTTTAAATCTTTGCTCATTGAGTCACAGTGGTTTTTCCATGGAAAATCGATCCTCATGCTTAGGCACATACAAAGAAGTTTGATCATCCAAATATTCTTTGGATGTTTTTTGTACAGGAAATTTATTATATTTTGCTATATTTATGTGCATTGAATTTACTTTATAAAATGAAATGGTAATCTATACTTTCAACTTTTTCCTCAACCATATTTTGGGTGATATAAAAGTAATATCTTACATTAAGTAAATATATATATGCATGTATATATATGTTTTCAAATATGTCAGGGATTTGTGATATATAAACAAAAATAAAAATAATGCTGCTTTCACATTATATATGTGATAAAATATCCTCTACTTCTTTGGTGAAAATCTATACTTACTTTGTTTTATAATCACTGTTTTGTATTAAAATTTTCACTAATGTTATTTTGTCATTTTATATTTTTTTGATTTTGTCCCGACTGTTGTGTTATGTTTGCACAGCACCTACAAATGCCATATGATATCCGTCAGAAATGAAGTTACAGGACATTGTGTGCCTACATGTTGGTCATCTCATTCACTAGTCAGATGCTCTGACTAGTGAATCTAACTCATATTAATTTTCAGTTTTCAGGGAATTTTAATACCATCTATATAGCATCCAAAAATGTAAGGGTGACAGAAGAAAATAGTCAAGTGAGAATGTTGATGCGTGAAGTGAAGTTTTTTAAGAATTACACACTCATGAGCATGACGTTCTATGTTAGGTAAGAACATCTTTTTCAAGTAGAAGGAATTATTTGTTGAAATTGAACTCAAAGAATTCCCAATATATATTTGCAATGGAAAAATAATGTGGGTCTAAAGGAAAACTGTAGTTGAGAGTTACTGCAGCTAAAAATACTAAACTTAGCATTTATATCTTGATGTTATAATTTTTAATTTTATTAAAATATTGAAAATATGAACTCAGGAGGTAAAATGTATATCTTCTTTCAAAGACACCAATGTTTCCTGAGAGTAAAATATTAATAAATGTGAATATGGGTGAAGGAAATTTGAGATATTAAATATCAAATGTAGTCCTTATAATATCACTGTGTAAAATGTTCTTCCTCTTGCAAACCATCCTGATAATTAGATACCTACCATTGAATCAATGAGGTATCACTTTTGTGACTGGAAAATCCTGTCAGGTATGCGTCTGATGCCCATTTTCAACCACACACTATACGAATCACCACTCAAAAGTGCTGTTATTGAAAATATTTACAAACCATGGGTGGCATGACAGGAGACAGGGACAGGACAGTGAACATGTCTGAACATGTCTCCTCTTCAGTAAGGTTACTCTTCTTGAGACAGAGCACATGTGGGACAATAAGTGTTAATAATGCATGGGTATTGTTTATTATATTGTTTAGGACACACGGGAAGTGCCAACTACACACACTTTGGGCAGATAAATCTCCATATAATTTCTGCCTTTTCACTTGTGAGTATCACTGGTTGAGGATTGGTGGTGTTTTTTATTATGTATTTTTTGTAACCAATCCGATTGTTCGACAGATAACTTCCATTCTTGTTACAGCAATTTTCAATCTTGTAAAATGCTACAGAAATAGTCCTAGGGGATATATTGTCGGAACCTGGGTGGTGCGTGATGCTATTCTTCATTTCCCAGAAATCTACACTTACCCTCCACCAGATGGGGGCAGATCTAGACGTGAGTAAAATCTCCCTTGTCTGATTCTCATGACCATGAAGAAAGCAATGCACATGTGAATCTTGCTACTTAGTACAAAGTAAGTTAACAAACAAATAAATAAATAAATTAAATAAGATTTTGTTAAAGTTGCTGAAGTACAGGCATGTTCATGACTTTAGTATTTTAGGTTAGAAGTTAAGGGAGTGTCTCCCTTACTCAATATTTTAATGCAAAATAGTAATATGTTTTATAGAGTCTTAGTTGCAGCTCTAGGATTATTTTGAAGTAATTGTTTGACAATGTTGTTTTAGAAATAATGCAATTAAAATAAATATCAGATATGTATAAGTAACACTATATGGATACAAAGAGCTATGCTTATGAATAAATATACTGCATACTGCATTTATCTGATCATTATTATTTATATAACACACAATACAATTTATATGTAATATATGATAATAACAATAGTAATAATGAATATAAGCTTGTGATTATAATAAATAAAAAATGGCATGAATTTGAAGAAGACTCTGCAGGGGCATGCACTATAACTATAAGGAGAAAAAGGAAGGGAAAATGATGTTTCTGTTTAACATATCAAAATAAACAATAAATAAGCATATGGGAGAATCTACACCAAGTCTAATGAATAAAAACTGATTTTTTCCAGAACCAAGTAAATTTTATATTATATTGAAGTTTGTCTCAAATACCACCATCCTAATGGAAGCCAATTTTTGGAATAATTTGGGGAACATTCAGACTCTGACTGCAGCACTGGGTATGTAAATATCATATGGGGAAAAACTTTCTTTTCTGTTTGTTAATTGCAGCTTAACTGTGTCGCTGCATTTCATTGTATGATACACTGGTGTAGGGAGGTATTTGTTCATGAGGTTTCAAACATAAACCCTATCATTTGAAATTTTACAGTATAATAATTTTAATAGTTTTGATTTTTATATAAGAATCTTAGATATTATGGGATGGAACTTTATTTATTTATATGCAGCAAGATTGTTCGAGCCAACTTAAGAATGATTTGGCTGACCAGTATCATTAGTGTGCATGGGGTGAGGTAGCAGGATTTGCCAACTGATGACAATTTTATGAATTCAGACATTTGGGTTATGTTATAATGAACATTTCCTCTGACTTTGCCTTTATTTATTGCAGCAAAGGGAACTAATATCACTGAAGAAATGTGGAAAGACTATGTGAAGCTGACACACAACAAAATAATCCCTATTGAAAATATTAAAAATGTCTATGAAGCAGGTAAGTTGATTTGTGTAATCTCTCCTGACAATAGAGGAAACCACAGAGATGCTTGCTGTCATCTCATTCATGTAAAATCATTACAGAAAATATGTAGGCAATCCAATAATATTTTAAAATTTTTTCCTTTTTTGTGCACCTCACAGATACCTGCCGTAAACTGGAGTAGTGATCACAACAGTATAAACATGGTATTAGTCAGTATGCGTGACTCATTGGAGTTAAATTTTGAGATCAATTTAATCATTCAAATGCAAAGTATTTGTAACAGTCCCTAAGGAAATTCTGTACAATCTCCTATTATCAAAAACCATTAGTGGCTTCATGTATGATTATGCGCCTTGATTGCACACATTATAAAATTGTTTTCAATAAAGTAAATGTTCTGCATCATACAGTGGATTCTCTCATGACACACAAAAGTGGATGATTCATTGACTCAGCGTGAATGCGAATGATTTGTGAAATTTGAAGCTTAGCATCTAGAAATTTATAAAGATCCGAGGATATCTGTGCCATCACTTTTCATAAAATTTCCAAAAATATCTTAAAGGAACACACAGTTCACAGTGTCCCCAAGATGGTATTTCTGTATGTCCACTTGTAAATTGGCTTCATTACAAATCAGGGTAGAATGTTTTCACAAAAAAGCAAACAAGTATAGTCATGAACATAAATATGCACATATATACATATATACATGTATTCAACAGCTATTATTGAAGATAATGTTTTTATTGAACTTAATGGTAGAATTATTTCACAAAATGTGTTTGTGAATATGCACATACATGGTACAGCAATTAACTTAAATTATCAAAAGGGATTATATTTCTGGAATCAAAGGGATAAAATATTATAATCTTATTATAATATTGAAAACAATAAAATTAGTTGACACATACTAATAAAAAATACTTGAAGTTTCATCAATCCCCCACTAGACAGAGCAGGGTGGAAACCATAGTTGTAACCATGACACCACCTCAGAGCACACCTGTCATATGCAGGAGTACACTGTATCAAGAGTATCATCTAGGGTTGTGATTGAAACACTATTTTATGCAGTTAAATGCTTCTAGATACATACATACATGTATACCCATGAAAACAATGCTCATGATTTAATACACACAGGTACAATAATCAAGGTGTCATCCCTAGACATTAGATGATTCTTATGGGGGAAGCATGTCCAATACTTTGAGGAAATGCTGAGAATTCCCACTATCTTTTGAAAAATTGTATTGCAAATGCATTTTATTCATAGAATGTATTCTGATTACACTTTTCTCTCCCCCAACATTTGGCACATCCTACCCGCGTCACCACACACTGAAATCCACACCCTTTCTGTTTCATTCTCATTAGAATACAAATTTATGTTTTATTAAAGAAATAAAAAATCTTATATTCTACAGTGTTCTGTGAGTGAGGGTTAGTATGAGACACAGAGGATTTTGCTTAAGGGAAAGAAAGAGGGGAAATGAAAACATCATTAGCAATGACAACTTGAATGTAGGTGGTTGGCAGTTGTACACATGCACCACACATGATCCCAATCCCACCCCTTGTCATGAATAGAAATACCATAATTGTCTCTATGCCAATCAGTGCTAAGGTTAATCATGCAAAGCAACACTCCAAAGTTTTTTCCTTGGGATTGTCTTAAAAAATGGGATCTTGAAATTTGCAGGCAAATGGACGGTACTAGGAGAAATCACTCTGAGTGAGGTAAGTCAGTCACAAAAAAGACAAACATGTTATGTACTCACTCATATATGGATTTTAGACATAGATCTGGGAAGGGCCAGCCTACAATCCCATGGCCAGAGAGTCTGGGAAACAGAACCTTCATTCAGTGACAGATGGAAGCAAAGGCAGACACCCACAGCTAAACACTGAACTGAACTTCTGGAATCCAGTGACAGAGAGAGTTCTGATGAGCAAAGAGGTAAAGACAGGGCTGGTGAACCCAAGCTGACCTGAACAAGGGGGAGATCTTGGACTCCAGACTGATGGCTGAGAGGCCAGCATGGGACTGATCCACACGTCCAGAAAGTGGGTGTCATTGAGGAGGCCTAGGTAATCTGTGGGGCCTTGGGTAGTAGATTCATGTATATCCCTGGCATACAATGAGGGGTGCTCTCTCAATCTGGACACTTAGGGGAGGGCCTAGGCCCTGCCCTGAATGAAATGACAGACTCTGGAGATCCCCATGGAGGTCCTCACACTCCCTGGGGATCAGAGTGGGGGTTGGGTGGGGGCTGAGGGTGAGGTGGAGGGGGCATGGGAGGAGAGGAGGGAGAGAAGGAACTGGGATTTACATATGAAGCAAGTATATTTCCAATTTAAATAAAAAAGAATAAAAATCATAATTTAGTGTACAAAAATTACGGGCAGATAAAGATCCCATAAAGTAGAAGAAAAATGTGCCTCAGTGATGAGATCTCTCCTTGATTATCCAGTACCAGGTAACCATCCCCAAAATTATGTACACAGAAACAACACAGAAAAGATACAGCATGTATTGCTTTATACATTCATGAATATATATGGTTATCTATGTAACAGTAATTATTAAAGAAGTCTGTGAATTTGAAAAGGAGTAAGAAGAATATGAAGGGTCAGAAAGAGGAGAGTGTCAGGATCAACAATGCAATTGTATTTGAATAATATCTATATATATGCATATACATACATATATAAAATATATTTGTATTCTTTATATATTTTGTTATATCAAATATTTTATAAAATTTTTATATTCTTGTAAATTATACATTTTATTTTATATGAAATATATTTTTAATAATTTGATATTTATATGTATATATATATATAACATATAATTACACTGTGGTGGTTTGAATAGGAATTGCCCACATAAGCCCATAAATTTGATTGCTTGACCATTAGGGAGAGATGATATTTGAAAGTTATTAGAAGGATGACATTTTTGTAGTACATATAGCCTTGTTGGAGGAATTATGTCACTGGATGTGTGACTTGGGATTACAAGTGCTCAATACATGTCCACCAGAAGATCAATATGTAGATATATCATTTTCATTTTCAGCTCTAAACCCTAAGTAGCCTTGCTTCCCACACAGCTGATAATGGACTAAACCTCTGAAAGTAAGGAAGTCCCAATTAACTGCTTTCCTTTATGAGATTTGGCAGAGTCACTTCACAGCAATAATACTTTGACTAATACATTTACCATGATTATTTTCTCCTTAAAATAAAAAATATATTCTGAAAAAACAAAACCAGAAAAGAGATTATTGTTTGCTTGTTTATTTATTAGAGGAACTTTACAGAGTGAATTAAACCGGGAGTCTAGATAATTCTAGAAATCAAATATTTAGGTCAGCAGTGAAAAAATATTTGAGGTAACAATCTAGTTATTATGAAGACTTTCAAATATCCAGACAACTGTAGAGTGTGGGTGTGCTTAATTTTGTGAGTCTAGCTCCAAGAATCAATTTATCATTTATATAAATCAATTTAATATTCACCATCCTAGTTTGTGGCTATGTTCAGAATCCTTTTACCTCACAGTTTTCATTGTCTTTTCTTACATTGAGAATTTTTTTAGGAAAGAACAAATGCATCAGAAAAACTAAAGGAAATCATCTTTTGTTCTGCAACACTGTCTCTACTCATTACATCTAGCTTTTACAGTAGAGAACACAAATGTCCCATTCATGAGCAACACGTGCATATTCCATAAATCCTACAAAAGAAAATATCACAGATTGACATTTGGAAACAGATGAGTGAAACCCCATGAGTACTTTGAAAATCCCCATCTCTCATTCTGGCATGTTAACTCTTTTTATAACTTGAATCAAATCTGAAGGGGGAAACAAGTGAAATGTGGTTATAAATGATTACACACAGGTATACATGGGTATTACTCCTCAAAATTATAGTTCTTCATTTAACCCAGAGTAAGCAACACCAGTGAAGTTTTCCACCTCATCATGGGTGCAGTATATCCCTCCCATCATATCAGACCAGAATTTTACCTCAGCAATTCTTATATGAGTGACAAACCCACATCAGTTAAAAGCAGGCTGAGAGCAACAGGTGAAGGCACAGTCTTATCATTTCTGGTCTTTCCATGCCTCCTTCTCAAAAGTCCTGTTGAGTACAACATTCAAGAGACTACACTGTTTACACACTTGTATCCTATTTGGTTCTGTGGATTCAGGTTGCCATGGCAAATGCTCACTAAAGTGATTACTATTATGGCAAGGCTGCAGTTTGAGATTACTGAGGGAAGGAGAGGGTTTAAGTTTTCAATGTGGGCAACAGCCATTAGTGTAGATTTCCTATGGCCAGGTAGATGAGTCCATACATGCACATACATGGGTAACGATAATTGGATTTAGTTGGTGAAAAAAAATCTAAAAGTTGAAATAAAGATTGGAGATAATTGTAAAGCTGGAGAGAGAGGGTGAGATTGGATATAAACCTTAAGAACAACAATTCCTTAACACAAAACATCCAGGAAATATGGGATACCATGAAAAGACCAAACCTAAGAATAATAGGTATAGAAGGAGAAGAAAACCACCTCAAAGGAACAGAAAACATATTCAACAAAATCATAGAAGAAAACTTTCCCAACCTTAAGAAAGACATGCCAATGAAAGTACAAGAAGCTTATAGAACACCAAATAGGTTGGACCACAAAAATGTCCCCTCGCCACATACTAATCAAGACCCCAAATATACAGAATAAAGGAAGAATATTAAGAGCAGCTAAGAAAAAGGCCAAGTAACATATAAATGCAGACCTATCAGAATTACACCTGACTTCTCCATGGAAAATCTGAAAGCCAGAGGTCCTGGATAGATATTCTACCAACACTAAGAGACCATGTATGCCAGCCCAGACTACTATACCCGGCAAAGCTCTCAATCACTATAGACGGAGAAAACAAGATATTCCATGACAAAACTAGATTCAAGCAACACATATCCACTAACCCAGCCCTACAGAAAGTTTTGAAAGGAAAATTCCAACCCAAGGAATCTAACCACAACCAGAAAAACATAGGCATTAGAGAATCCCTCTCTGCCAACAGCCAAAAGAACAAAGGGGTGAAATTCCACACATAATTCCACCAACAACAACCATTGCAAGTCTAAGAAGGATGAGCAATCGATGGTCATTAATATCCCTCAACATTAATGGCCTTAACTCACCCATATAAAGACACAGGCTAGCAGAATGGATTCAAAGGCAGAACCCTTGCTTCTGCTGCATACAAGAAACACACCTCACCCTTAAAGACAGACATTACCTGAGAGTTAAAGGCTGGGAAAAATTTTTTCAATCAAATGGACCCAAGAAACAAGCAGGAGTAGCAATCCTAATATC